GTGTGTAGCAATAAGGAGCCACGGGTGTGTGTGTGATCCTGGGTAGCCTAATCCGAAGGGCACTGTTCCAGAAAGAAAGGGTTGCTGGGTTCTGATCTCGCTCTTGGATTCTTCTTTTGCAACATTTGAACCTGTCAGGCGGTGTAGCAAGAAGGACCCCTGGGTTTTGGTGATCCCTGGTAGCCTAATCCAAAGGGCAGTGTCCCTGAAAGACTGGGATGCTGGGTTGCAATCCCGCTCTTGGATCCCTCTTTTGCAACATGTGTTGTCTGTTGGGCACTGTGTTTTTTGTGCTGTGTAGTGTGTTGTGTACAGTGTGTTGGGTGTTGGGTGTTTTCTTCTCTTTCTCATTCTCCTAGCTCTTCTTTCATTCTCCTGGGTGACTACCAACGGCCAGTGTATGCCGTAGTATGGGGTGCGGTGTGTGTGTAATAAACAAGAAGAAAAAAAAGAAAAACAAATGAAAAATAGGGATTCACTGGCCAGAAAAAAGCCACTTCAATCAGCTGTGTAGTGGATACCGGGCTAAAAATTAGTGGCGGTCAATTCATCAGCCTCGCAAGCTGTTGAATGGTGTAATCCCGGCACAAGTTTCTATGTCTAGCGTAGCTGTTCGCTATCATCGCTTCCGCGATGGGCATGTCTGACGTCTGAGGTGTTATGTACAGCGTGTTGTGTGTTGTGTGTTGTGCCGAATGTGCTGTGTGTGTAGCAATAAGGAGCCACGGGTGTGTGTGATCCTGGGTAGCCTAATCCGAAGGGCACTGTTCCAGAAAGAAAGGGTTGCTGGGTTCTGATCTCGCTCTTGGATTCTTCTTTTGCAACATTTGAACCTGTCAGGCGGTGTAGCAAGAAGGACCCCTGGGTTTTGGTGATCCCTGGTAGCCTAATCCAAAGGGCAGTGTCCCTGAAAGACTGGGATGCTGGGTTGCAATCCCGCTCTTGGATCCCTCTTTTGCAACATGTGTTGTCTGTTGGGCACTGTGTTTTTTGTGCTGTGTAGTGTGTTGTGTACAGTGTGTTGGTTGTTGGGTGTTTTCTTCTCTTTCTCATTCTCCTAGCTCCTCTTTCATTATCCTGGGTGGCTGCCAACGGCCAGTGTATGCCGTAGTATGGGGTGTGGTGTGTGTGTAATAAAAAAGAAGAAAAAATTAAAAAAATGAAAGATGAAAAATGAAAATTAGGGATTCACTGGCCAGAAAAAAGCCACTTCAATCAGCTGTGTAGTGGATACCGGGCTAAAAATTAGTGGCGGTCAATTCATCAGCCTTGCAAGCTGTTGAATGGTGTAATCCCGGCACAAGTTTCTATGTCTAGCATAGCTGTTCGCTATCATCGCTTCCGCGATGGGCATGTCTGACGTCTGAGGTGTTATGTACAGCGTGTTGTCTGTTGTGTGTTGTGCCCAATGTGCTGTGTGTGTAGCAATAAGGAGCCACGGGTGTGTGTGTGATCCTGGGTAGCCTAATCCGAAGGGCACTGTTCCAGAAAGAGAAGGGTTGCTGGGTTCTGATCTCGCTCTTGGATTCTTCTTTTGCAACATTTGAACCTGTCAGGCGGTGTAGCAAGAAGGACCCCTGGGTTTTGGTGATCCCTGGTAGCCTAATCCAAAGGGCAGTGTCCCTGAAATACTGGGATGCTGGGTTGCAATCCCGCTCTTGGATCCCTCTTTTGCAACATGTGTTGTCTGTTGGGCACAGTGTGTTTTGTGCTGTGTAGTGTGTTGTGTACAGTGTGTTGGGTGTTGGGTGTTTTCTTCTCTTTCTCATTCTCCTAGCTCTTCTTTCATTCTCCTGGGTGGCTACCAACGGCCAGTGTATGCCGTAGTATGGGGTGTGGTGTGTGTGTAATAAAAAAGAAAAAAAAGAATTAAAAATAGGGATTCACTGGCCAGAAAAAAGCCACTTCAATCAGCTGTGTAGTGGATACCGGGCTAAAAATTAGTGGCGGTCAATTCATCAGCCTTGCAAGCTGTTGAATGGTGTAATCCCGGCACAAGTTTCTATGTCTAGCATAGCTGTTTGCTATAATCGCTTCCGTGATGGGCATGTCTGACGTCTGAGGTGTTATGTACAGCGTGTTGTGTGTTGTGTGTTGTGCCCAATGTGCTGTGTGTGTAGCAATAAGGAGCCACGGGTGTGTGTGTGATCCTGGGTAGCCTAATCCGAAGGGCACTGGTCCAGAAAGAAAGGGTTGCTGGGTTCTGATCTCGCTCTTGGATTCTTCTTTTGCAACATTTGAACCTGTCAGGCGGTGTAGCAAGAAGGACCCCTGGGTTTTGGTGATCCCTGGTAGCCTAATCCAAAGGGCAGTGTCCCTGCAAGACTGGGATGCTGGGTTGCAATCCCGCTCTTGGATCCCTCTTTTGCAACATGTGTTGTCTGTTGGGCACAGTGTGTTTTGTGCTGTGTAGTGTGTTGTGTACAGTGTGTTGGGTGTTGGGTGTTTTCTTCTCTTTCTCATTCTCCTAGCTCTTCTTTCATTCTCCTGGGTGGCTACCAACGGCCGGTGTATGCCGTAGTATGGGGTGCGGTGTGTGTGTATTAAACAAGAAGAAAAAAAATGACAAAAATGAAAAATAGGGATTCACTGGCCAGAAAAAAGCCACTTCAATCAGCTGTGTAGTGGATACCGGGCTAAAAATTAGTGGCGGTCAATTCATCAGCCTCGCAAGCTGTTGAATGGTGTAATCCCGGCACAAGTTTCTATGTCTAGCATAGCTGTTCGCTATCATCGCTTCCGCGATGGGCATGTCTGACGTCTGAGGTGTTATGTATAGCGTGTTGTGTGTTGTGCCCAATGTGCTGTGTGTGTAGCAATAAGGAGCCACGGGTGTGTGTGATCCTGGGTAGCCTAATCCGAAGGGCACTGTTCCAGAAAGAAAGGGTTGCTGGGTTCTGATCTCGCTCTTGGATTCTTCTTTTGCAACATTTGAACCTGTCAGGCGGTGTAGCAAGAAGGACCCCTGGGTTTTGGTGATCCCTGGTAGCCTAATCCAAAGGGCAGTGTCCCTGAAAGACTGGGATGCTGGGTTGCAATCCCGCTCTTGGATCCCTCTTTTGCAACATGTGTTGTCTGTTGGGCACGGTGTTTTTTGTGCTGTGTAATGTGTTGTGTACAGTGTGTTGGGTGTTGGGTGTTGTGCATAGTGTGTAGTGTGTGTGTTTCATTTTTGTTTATTGTTTTTTTTGTGTTGGCCCACAAAGGGTGAATGTTATGCTGACGCTAAAACCAGTAAATGAAGTAATGACCTGGTGCTAAAATGAGAAAAGGATATGATAACACCGGAAAGCGCTAAAATTGCGAAAATTATGGTCTAGATAATAAATGAACCGGATGAAATACCAAGAAATCATAACAGCCAAAACAACTGATAATATTAAAGTAAATGGAGCTCATTATGGTGATAACGCTGTAACCGTAGAAGCTGTACACATATGGACTCAGTTTATTTCACCAAAGCCATTCAGTAGCCGCCAACACCACCCAACCAGACAGATGTCGAGGCGGTTCCGATCTTGACCACGCCAACTGGCAGCCACTCGCGAAGCTGGGTGGGCAAGGAATTAGAGAATGAAGGGCCTTGTACGGGGGGAGAATGGAGACAGCTATCAGTCCTCGGCGTTGGCAAATGCCAAGTACGAGAGCGACATAAATTATATGAAGGTTGCACGCTGCTAGCAGTATGCGGCGAGAGTATATGTGGTGGGGCATAATTGTGGTGCAGAGAATGTGCGAAGAGTATATGTTTAACTTTATTGCATGAAAATAATGTTGGCCATTTGATGCCATTTGATGCGAGACCTTTCCAGGTGCCGACAACAAGCAGCGGGACAAGACAGACTGGAAGAAACTGTGCAGCTCGACATCCGAGGAGAAATCAGTATCAGCAGCTACTACACCTTGCGGAAGATGCTCACAAGACAGAAGCGGGAGGAACACTGACTGTCTTTATTGTTTAGTGTTCCACTACGCGAAATGTTCTCATACTAATATTCTTCACGGGTTTGAGGGAAAGACACAAACGGGAAAAGTCTGAAGAAAAATTTGACTTTCGCCACCAGTAGCCAGTGCAGGCTAAATTTTATTTTTCAAGGAAACCCTTCCGACGCGGTATCAATCGACTCAGCATAGCATTTTCATGCCTCCTGCAAAGTTTGAGCTGATTTGGAGTCATGATAAGGACGCTATGGCGAGTAGAAGATCGACAAACTTCAGTTTTGTTTGTCAAGAAGGAAGGCCATGATCGCACACAAATGGAACAGCCCGTGTGGCACAATGATTTTTGAACGAAGTCGATCCGCGGACCCCGTGCTTCTCGCATGCATGCAAGTGCCGCAGGGGCTTTTTGAACGCAGATAGTTCCTCGTCTTCTTCGAAATTACTTCCAAAATAATTAACGTCGTGCTGGTTTTGTTCTCTTCATCGAGGCAGAACACAGCTGCATGCTATGCCCCTGGAGTTCCTGCTTGTTCTCTTTACGCGTCTTGACATTGTGGCGGTCAGACTCACCTAGACTGGAGAAGACTCAGAAGATTATGCTTTGGTCCTTATGGAAAATCGATGAAATTTGGTATTTATCGTCGGGCGCTGGGGAGCATGGGTCTCAAATATCCACTGGTTTGAGGGAAAGACACGAAATTATTATGATTATCATTTGATGCGATGCAGAAGGTGGGGGTGTTCTAAGTGTGTGTAAAGGGGAAGGTGGAGAGGTATCCTAGCGGCTTGTTGTGCACATTGTTTTTCATTTTATGCACAGTGTGTTTAGCATATCACGCACATGCGGCGTATGCAAGCCCAAACACACACACACACACACACACACACACACACACACACACACACACACACACACACACACACACACACACACACACACACACACACACACACACACACACACACACACACACACACACACACAACACACACACACACACACACATTCACATACGCAGTCATACATTTATTTCTTCATTCGAATGCTTTTTTGACAGGTTCGTACTACGGGTCCGATCGATCCGCTAACACATCAGCCTGTGAAGGGACGTAAGCGAGCCGGTGGTATTCGATTTGGTGAAATGGAACGAGACGCCATGCTTGCTCACGGCACATCATTCTTGCTGCATGACCGTCTGTTTCACTGCTCTGATCGCTGTGTGGTATGTTCATTGCTCTTTGTGTGTGTGTTTGTCTCTCTCTCTCTCTCTCTCTCTCTCTCTCTCTCTCTCTCTCTCTCTCTCTCTCTCTCTCTCTCTCTCTCTCTCTCTCTCTCTCTCTCTCTTCTCTCTCTCTCTCTCTCTCTCTCTCTCTCTCTCTCTCTCTCTCTCTCTCTCTCTCTCTCTCTCTCTCTCTCTCTCTCTCTCTCTCTCTCTCTCTCTCTGTCTCTCTCTCTCTCTGTCTCGCTCTCTCTCTCGCTCTCTCTCTCTCTCTCTCTCTCTCTCTCCCACATCTCTCTCCCACATCATCTCGCTCTCTCACACACATCATCTCTCTCCCTCACATCTCTCTCTCTCTCTCTCTCTCTCTCTCTCTCTCTCTCTCTCTCTCTCTCTCTCTCTCTCTCTTTCTCTTTCTCTCTCAAGGCGATTTGTGTGCGCATGCGCAGCATTTGAGTGCACGTGTAAAGCCAGCTCAGTCGTAGCTAGCATGAGATGGAGAGCAGCGCATCATCGGTCTTATCGCTAACTAGGGTTTAATAGCCCAAAAGCTAACCCAACATTTATCATTCATGATGATGGCAGATATTCGGACTGCACGCACTCTAGCCTTTGTTGTCTTCACCTGTTCCAACCTGTGTTTATGTTTGTGTATATTCGCACGCATGTGTGTGTGTGTGGTGTGTGTGTGTGTTTGTGTGTGTGTGTGTGTGTGTGTGTGTGTCCTTGTGTGTGTGTGCGTGTGCGTGCGCGCATGCATGTGTGTTTTTCGCCACTGCTCATCATGCTGCTCGGTGTCTGGCGGTGGTGGCGGTCGCTGACGCAGGCTCAGGTCTGCTGTAAGTGCGGCTCTCTTCTATCACCCTGTCCCGACCCGCTGGCCTCCGGGCCAGACGCAGCAACGGGTGCAAACAGTCGTCGCAAGTGGACGTGTCGCTCTTGCCAGAATGGTGCCAACGTGCACACAGTGGCCGTACCGTACGTGTTTCGATATCTCACCGCTGAGCTTGCTGCTCTCAATATCAACATGAAGCTAGGCACCAAGCTGATATAGTGTGTTCACTACCACCGTGAGCTTCCTGCTCTCAATATCAACATGAAGCTAGGCACCAAGCTGGTGTAGCGTGTTCACTACCACCGTCCAACGCGCAGGCTTGCTGAATGGCTGCGAGTTGCACATGATGTGTGTATATGATGTGTATATAGCACGTGTACGCGGTGGTGTGTACACGATGTGTAGATGGTATGTACAATGTGTACAGTGTGTGTGTGTGTGTGTGTGTGTGTGTGTGTGTGTGTGTGGTGTGTGGTGTGTGTGTGTGCGTGGTGTGTGTGTGTGCGTGTGTGCGTGCGCGCGCATGCGTGTGTGCGTAGCAATGGCGTGTGCTGGAGAGGATTTTGTGGATGTTGAGCTTGCTGTGCGTGCAGCAACCATCCAAGAACATTCTGTCGTATTCATTTGTAAGGAGGCATGTGATCGGAGACCCGATCACGCTTTTTCTCTGCTTGAATAGAAAGAAAACAAATTTAACCCTTTTTTAAAACTTGGCTTGGTGTGGCTGTGCGGGAGATTGGCACTGTGCCGCCGTGTTGTGCTTTTTGTCTTGGAACAAGTATCGTCTAGTATGAAGAATTGCATGATTGTATTACGTATGACCATCAAACACGCTTTCGTCAGGACAATTTGTATCTTTATGTAGTAATGACAGGGTTCTAGCCTGGTCAAATACTAGGGGGCGGGCAGAGGGAACAGCTACCACGGAACCCAGTTTCCTATTTTCCAAAATTGTCTTGCGAATGCAACGTATGGGGACGAACCCCCGACTTTATCCCAGACAAATGTGCCTTTCCCCGACACGCACAAAAAATGACAAATGATTGGGGGGGGGGGGGGTCAATCAGTGTAGAGGGGTAGGGGGTTCTTGGACTCAAGAGTTCATGCCCACACTACTCTACTATGCATGTGTATGGTACATGGTACTGCCCAATGAAATCCAGTCCAGTCACTCAAGTGCCGGTATGCGCCAGACGTTGCGCAGCCCCAGATCTCTGACAACTGCATGGCTACCTAATGCAATGGTGTAAGGCAGGGAGCAGTGTAACATTGTACAATAATAATAGTACTACTGCCTGCTGTAAAGCACAAGCTTAGCACAGACTTGACTCCGGTGGCCGGATTTCATTGAGCAGCAGAGTACAGGAGCACCGAGAGTGGAAAACAGTACATGTACAATCATGCTACAGTACTGGTCAGTGAAATCCAGCCGCGCCACTCGAGTACTCGCCGGGCGTAGCTCAGTCCTAGTCTCCTAGACCTGAGAACACTGGACTGAACGGTGCATGGCGCAAACTTGAGTGACCACACTGGAGTTCACTGGCTGCATTCGATTATGTGCTTGAAGCGATTCAAGTACATACTGTAAACCGTGAAATTATCGCCATGGTCTAATTTCTGCGAAATTCGCGACAGCGTGGAAATCGCGAAAAGGAGATCCATGAAAGGTTTAGCAAGAATGCCACAGGTGTAGCAAGAATGCCATTCTGCAATCGCAAAATTAAAACCTCGCAAACCTGTCCGGATTCTGAAAACGCGAACTAAAAACGCCGCGAAAATTTCACACTTTACAGTAATCGAACACATTCACTGAGCAGTGTTGTACATGCATGTCGGGTGTTGCATGACGCAAAAGTTGAACTTTAAAAGTCAACTGATTCGCTAGTTCTGCGACAGTGGCCTTGCAAATGCATGCTGCTAGCGACAGCACAAGGCGGTCACTTCCTGTCACAAGTGTCGTATGTCGCACATCACGTCGCAGAGAGTTTTCGCTCTACGGAATTACGTATGAAAATAACGTAGGAACTGCACGTCACTTTCATACGTAAAAATCTGCGCTGTTGGGTTTCACTCTACTTGTTGCGCAAATTGCCTCAGTTGGTGGAGCATGAGACTCTTAATCTCAGGGTTGTGGGTTCGAGCCCCATTTTGGGCGCCAATGTTCCAAAAGAAGGATCCACGAGCGGGATTCGAACCCAGCACCCCTGTCTTTCCGGGACAGTGCCTTATCGATTAGGCTACCGGGGATCACACACACTCATGGGTCCTTCTTGCTACATACGTGATTACTGCATGCTAGACATGCCCTGTTGCTTTGGAGACGCGTTGGCTGCATGTGCCCACCGCATGCACCATGAGCCGAAACCGCCTTTTCTATTTTTATCTTGCACGTGGTGTACGGTGTGTGTACCGCGTACCGTGTGTTTCGCGCGGCTTGAACGTTGCCATGGATAAATCCGGAAATGCGAAACATAATTATTTCAAACAGTCCTACGGAGGACCCAACGTAGGAAAGAGCTTTCCAACGGAAATCCGTAGAGAGATTTACATGTGAAAGTTGTCCTCGGGCCTCGCTCCCCGGCGCGTACGACATACGGATTTTCATACGTAATTACGTAGAGCGAAACCTCGATATTGTGAATTCTGCCCCCCCCCCCCCCTCCCCACCACTCACCATGACTGATGGCATGGAGAACATGGTGGAGCAATGCACGAGTCCACAATGAAAATCAGCCTCAAATAAAGTATACACACAAACAAAGCTCTGTTGCACACGCTGCTGCCACAGTGCTGCATTGAGGGCCTACCCTCGTTTGTACATCACTTACAATGTACAAGACAAACCTCATTCAGAGTGGGGGGGCGGTCAATTAGAGTAGTGGGGGAGGGCAGCCGGAGCAGGGGGGGGGGGAGGACCACCCAGGCAGAGGGGGGGGCAATCAGAGTGGGGGAGGGGCGGCGGTCAATCAGAATAGGGGTTGGGGGAGGGGGATCAAAAACAAACCCTAGCCATTAGGAGTAGGGGGGGGGAGCGGTCAATTGGAGTATGGGGGGGGGGTCTATTGGAGTATGGGGGGGGGGGAGCGGTCAATTGGAGTATGGGGGGGGGGAGCGGTCAATTGGAGTATGGGGGGGGGGGAGAGCGGTCAATTGGAGTATGGGGGGGGGGGGGGAGCGGTCAATTGAAGTATGTGGGGGGGGGGGGGAGCGGTCAATTGGAGTATGGGGGGGGGGGGGGAGCGGTCAATTGGAGTATGGGCCTACTATGGGGGGGGGGGGAGCGGTCAATTGGAGTATGGGGGGGGGGGGCGGTCCATTGGAGTATGGGGGGGGGAGCGGTCAATTGGAGTATGGGGGGGGGGAGCAGTCAATTGGAGTATGGGGGGGGGGGGGGAGCGGTCAATTGGAGTATGGGGGGGGGGGAGCAGTCAATTGGAGTATGGGGGAGGGGAGCGGTCAATTGGAGTATGGGGGGGGGGGGAGCTGTCAATTGGAGTATGGGGGGGGGGGAGCGGTCAATTGGAGTATGGAGGCGCATAACTGTAGCTAGAGGGGGGGGTCAATCAGAGTGGGGAAACGAGGGGTGGCGGTCAATCAGAGTAGGGTGGGGGAGGAGGCACTCAGAGTGGGGGGGGGGGCGATGGCCAGTGAGTCATAGTGGGAGCATAAGGGGGGGGGGGGGGAGGGGATCAATCAGAGTGTTGGGGGCGGTCAAACGGAGCAGGGGGTAAATCAGCGTTGGGGAGACGGTCATGGAGAGTGGGGGGGGGGGGGGAAGGGGGGGGGGGGTAGGGCGGTGAATCAGAGTAGGCCTTGACGGATTATGCTAAAATTGTCGAGAAATTATGCTTTTCGCATTGCTGAAAAATGGCAGAATTATGCTATTTTTATGCTAAACGTTGTCATATTATGCACATCACATCATGCTCACATCATGCTCACATCATGCTCACATGTATGCTGTTAATGTATAACGGTTCTGTGCAAAATAACAGGGGAATGTTTTTGAAGAGGGCGTTGTACTGTAGTAGCAAAAGTTCAACGGGGTCAACACACCGTCCGACCTAGCTACGACTGTTGCAAACCACCAGTTCTCAATTGGGAAAGGCCTTCGCGCTTATGGCATTGTATTTGTCGCAATGTTGTCTTTCGACTCCGCCGTACCGCTGATGTTGCTGCATGGCATACGCTATGTGCGCTGTGTGAGTTTTGCTGTATACGCTGTTATGTCCAGTTTTATATGCGTATGTTTTGCATGTACGCTGTTTTGCATGCTATAAATAGCTGGTGTTATTAGTGTTCATTGTTAATTATTGGATGAAGTGAAATATACTGTGTAAAGGAAAAGAGTTGTCCTCGTGCCGTGTGGTCGTACGATCCTGACAATTTAGAGAATCTTAGAGGGTTCATAACATTTGGCGACCACGCCAGGATAGGAGCGAGCATGGCAGAGCAACTACACAATTTGGAAGCCAGCTTTATCGCCAATGGAGTTCGGTTAGGATTAGAAGGCGAGTTGTTGATGGAACATGTGGAGCAGAGGCTCCAACAGTACGAGGAGCGTGAGGAGCGCAGTGCCAGACGGCGAGAGGAGGCGCTCCGCACCGAGTTTGACAAAACACTAAAGGAGATTAACGAGCGCATCGCCAATGCGTATGAGGGTGATGGTAAAGCCGCGATGGGAGGTACAGAGGAAGCTTCCTGTCACAGTGGGGGGGGGGGGGGCGTCAACCGTTGATGAAAATCCCCTCATATGATGGAACGCAGCCATTGGAGCGTTATCTTGACCTGTTCGAAGACATCTGTTCCAAGAACGAGTTCGAAGAAAGCGAATGGTTGCTGCGACTGCGCATCGCGCTAGCGGGTAGCAAAGTGGAGAGGATATGTATTGGATGCAACAATTACGAGGAAGCAAAGCGAGAGTTGCTTGCCTCGCTCGGAAAGACTCCGGATAAAGCGTGGAAGACATTGCTGACAGGCAAGCAGCGGTCAGATGAGTCGTTTCATCAATACGTTGTCCGTGTTTGCCGAGAGGTAGAGGTGTGGGCCACACTCGCTATGACAGAAGATGGCGAGGTGGACACCAAGTATAGCGCCGATATAGGTAAAATGGCCCCGGTGCTGCAAGCAATGGCAAAGCAGGTAATCTTGGAGCAATGCGGACCTGAGATGAAGACGTACCTGGTCGAACGGCAGTGCTACGGGATGTCTCTGCGCCAGGTACAGGAGCACGGCGCGTCTTACCAGGTCGCACACGGACGACAGGGTGATACTGCCAGGAAGCCAGTAGAACGATCCGTGCCAAGGCCCACGGCGTCGGCACAGTGCATGGCGATATCGGTCGCAGATGCAGAGAAGCAGCTAAAGTCGCTGCCACAGGAAGGGAGAAAGGGTTTTCTGCAGCGAGAGAGACTCTGCTGGAACTGCCTTAAGTATGGCCATATGGCCAGAGAATGTCGGTCAGGCGCGAGATGCACGAAATGCCAGAGGAAACACCACCTGCTAATACATGATGTGTTGGATAGAGCAGGTTACAGCCGGGAGAAACCGACTGAGATAGTAATGGAGAAGAATGTTGGATCGTGCTGTCTACACTCGCCAAGTGTGCGGCTGATGACCGGAGTGGCACGAGTTGAGGGAAGAACTCGAAACGCGAAGGTTCGCGTGTTCCTGGACTCGGGTGCTGAGGCGTCATTCGTGACTGCAGCGTTGG